AAAAAGTACCAGAACGATTGCAAAAAGTAGTCGAGAAATACGACTTCTCTTGTTCAGTGGCGTTCTTTCCTGCGAGTCAGGCTTTGATATATTCTCAGGACTGCTGAGTTCCTTCAGGCAACAATTAGCAGGTTGACCGCCACGAGGCGCACCTCACTGAATGGGAAAATCAATAGGCCAGATTTCCGTGTCGGTCAACGTGTTGAATCAGCGAGTCCTGACTCGCTTCAGGGAATGGGCCTTTCTGGGGGGCACCGGCGAGGGAACAAGCACGCTATGCACAAATACCTATTCGCTGGGTGCATTAAGTTGGCGATATCTGGCGGCAGGAAGCATAAACATGAGTTGGGTGGAGTCAAGCGCGCAAGCTTCAATGGGTTTCTTATGGAAGCATTCAGAAAAAGATTGTTTTTAAAACGAAAATGCTTCTTTTTCTCTGCCAGAGGGATTTCCTAAGGCCAATAATGATTACGCAGTAGGTAATCGATGGGCTGAAGTTTCTATTTGGAATATCCACGCGGCCTGACAGTCCTATTATGATGTTTCTTTCAGTCTAGGCCTTCTCTTTCCAAGGGTCTATGAAAATCAAACTTGGTGTTTGCTGTCACGGGATAAATAGCTAACATTAACCATTGATGAGTTTCATCATGAGGTACTAATCGAAAAGGGTTTCTGTCATAGGTTATGATTTATCTCATGAAACACAACTGTTAAAAAAAAAACAGCAGCAGTGTAGGGCCGGATTAAGAAGTTGCAAGGCCATGGGCGAGTGGATGCCAAATGAGTTTCAATTAAGATACTCTCAGGGAGTCCTCAATGGTTCGCGCGTCCACGTCGCGAGGATTGACCCCAGTGATGCGGAAGGCCGTACTATCTNACGACAAGAAACCTGCTGTTCATTCATCCTGGATAAAACGCATACAGCGAGAGTATGCATTGATATCGGAAACCCCGCCGAGGTTATCCGTCTCTCCTCCCCTCTTGGAATGAACTACACGACGGAATCCGCCTGCCATGGGAGGAACCTCCCTCCGCTGCATCTCCTGAGAGCATGGGAAGATGGCAAGGAAAGAACTTCCACAAGCAAGATAGTTCGGTGAAACTCACAACACGGCAACATAGTCAACAGGGACTTGGGTAGGAAGGGTCCGATGAATTCTGCCGTCGTTCCATTGACGCAGAAGCAGATGTCCTTGTCGCACAGAAGGGATTTGCAGTTCGCGTTCAACTCGGAACGTAGTGTCGTGTGCTAAATGTTCTTCTCCAGGTCGTACCTTCTTAAGGAGCAGGCTGAAAAGATGAAAATATCAATTAGAAAGTTTTATGAAGCCGGCTCGAATTCGTTGAAAGAGGAAAATATGAGAGCAAAATGGAAAGGTGAACTTGGTGTCTCGGACGTTAATTAAGAATTATTTCTAATTACAATGAAAATCATTTGAAATTAGAAATATTTCTCTTATATTCCTACATTCCCACATACATTCCTAAAACAAAAACTAGTGCAGGTTTATCTTGAGAGGGATTCGTGTTTTGAGGTTGGAATTGAGTGAGAGCTCCATAGAGATTCAGGATGTGAATGTGGGGAAAATGGCGTGCCTGCCTTAAACCTAGAACCTATCGACGCCCACATGAAAAGGCAAAGATGCTATTAACAATTTTTTTAATACTTTTTTATTGCAGACGGCAAGAGACACGGCATACTCCGCTCCGATGCCAGTTCAAATGGCACCACACAGTCTTACTCGCATAGAACATGATAGTATTTCGGGGACCGCGACCAAATAGGGTACAGCTGCCCCCAGGGCCGTTTCTAAGTATATTGGCGCCCAGGGCAAGGAGTTCCAATGGTCCCCCCCCCCCCCCCACCCCAAACCACCAACTGCGAAGCGAAATACCACCGCAACTCTGGCGATTAGGGTCTTCTTCCCGATGCTGACAGGGAGCTGGAGCTGTAAATAATTTTGTACCATTTGTAGATAATCAAAGCCAAGTCAAGGCATTTTCTTCCACCATAACCAAATAAAAAAAATAATTGTTTTTATTAATGTGTTTCTTTGCGCCGCGCCCCCCTTCCGCTGGCGCCCGGGCGATCGCCCACTTCGCCCGCCCCAGAAAAACGATCCAGGCTGCCCCCAGGGATTCCCGACCGTTTCTGGGTAACTCCGCTCAGATGTCGATGATGGAGCATGTGCTAAACAGACATTCTTTTTTCTCGTTGATCTTCGTAATATGTCCGTTGTCGTATGTGTTCGTCGTATGTCATGTTTTACTTTATTTCGCAAAAAATGTCGAATTACATTTCGTGGAGTTCCTCATTTTTGTAGTTTACTCCTCAACGAAGGAGGGACGACATACGATGCGATAAAACGATCGCATCCTCAGGTAGGTTTCCAATGTTCCATTGTCCCCAAGAAACGAAATTCACAGTCGGCAGATTTTTCGTACATTGCTTCCAGAAATATGGTGCATTTAAGACTAGAAAAATGATTCATGACCAGGGTGCACCGATGTATCGGTATCGGCCACCGGTATCGGCCACCGGTATCGGCCACCAGTATCAGCCCCGGTGTTGCACTATGGGCACCATCGTCCAACGGCCTATGGCAACGGTGCCCGTGCCGGTGCCCAAAGGATGGGCAAAGCGAAAAAATTAAATTACGCTAGGGTGTCAAACCGCGTTGGCGCCGGCCCAAAGGTAACAATTCGGTCACTCCTGTCAGCCTCTCCCAGGCAAAAACATCGATCCGATTATGTTACAGCCGTATTATAGGAGCCGGCGGAGGAGGAACTTAGCGGTAAAGAATGGGAAATAATTGCATCTGCATTTACGTTATGCGATGTGTCACTAAAAGCTCTCAACTGCAGCAATGGGACAGAAGTCCTATCCAAGGACAGAAGCATTGAGAGACGGACAAGTTGGACAGGACCATAGGTGGTCTCTATTGTTTCAAGGAAGCCTACCGATAAGTATCACATTGGATTCCAATTAGGCCTATTCGAACTTATAGGCGATTTCTATCATCGGCCCAAAGGCCAAATGTTGCCAATGATAAAGTCCTATTCTTGACTCCTCCAGGCAGTCACATACCCACGTAGGATAAGCACCCCGGTTTCTGGCCGGTCTCCAGTTGTAGGCCAGTGATGCTTAAATCTAACATAATTTGTTATTCTGGCCGTTTTCAAGCATTCTATCAACATCTTCCCGTACGAAGACCTAGTCGACCGAGTCGTATCAGCGTGGTCGAAAACTGGGGCTTAAGTGGCCAAAACTGGGGTGTTTACTTTTGTGAGACTCGTTCAGACTGAACCTCTTCTGCTAACGTAAAAGAAAAACGAACGGAAATTCTGCAAACCAAAATCACCATCATTTCGGAGATCCATCATGCATTTTGACGCGACAATCACCCCTTTCCCTCGTTGCTTTCCTTCAGAATGAACACACTGCAAAACGCATCTCTGAAGGAAATACTCCAGTGAATGGAATGACTCGTTGAATGTCGCTAGAAGTAAGACCTTTATTTCATGACGTTTCATCGTGCTTCGCGAATCAATGTCATTCGTCTCGATGAGGGCGAGGAAGGTAAAGTTACATCCGTGCAATTGTTCGAGGGACTTACACGCGCATTACGGTTATATTTTCTTATGCAAGGGATTATGGAAGTTCATATGAGGTTAGCCGGTATACATGAAGATTTGACACGAACGGCTGTAACAGACTTCGCATTCCGCTCGTCACAATTCCATTTTCTGTTCCACGAACTTTATTTTCGGGATGGGAAGTGGTCACAGTTCAGGCTTACTCCTTACGGTCGTCGCAGTTCTCCGGCAACTGGCTATTATTGTTCAGCCCCAACTCATCCAGATTGCATTCAAGCTGCGCACAGTTCAAACAGCATTTGAATTTGATCGGGAAATCCCAAAAGTTCCGGAATCCGAGGTAGTCGACGCAGAAGGTGGTGCCTCTGTCTTCGGAGCCTATCGTCTGTATCTCATTGTAATCCCCGTTGTTCTTGCAATCCAACGATATCACCTCGCCCAACTCGCCGAAGAACTGCAGGTCTCGAGCACAGTCTGCGAAAGAAAGCCACATGACAGACAACTCTTTCCCGTCCGTATGCCAGAAGCGTCTTTCCCAGCCACGTGCCAGACACCCCCATCTCAAAACTCTTCATTTTGTGGGTTCCTCGAGAACTATTGCCTACATGAATCAAATATCTTATCTGAGTGAGAGTCTTGAGAGGGAAATACTTTTTTGAAGGGCGACAGATAGTCTTGATTTTTCTTAAAATCAAAATTATATGGAACGGCTAGCCGATGGGACTATGGAAATAATGGAACTCGCCTTCTTCCTCATTTGATGGAAGAATGAGAAAAGAATCAATGTAAAGGCAAGAGTCTTGAGTTTGGGGCATTCTAGAGTGATTTGGAATCCGAATGACGTGAAAATCGAAAGAAAAAACCCGGGTCGGAACTCACAGCAGTTTCTTTCAACCGTGTCTTCCGATCGATAGCCAATGGACTTCCCATCTTTCCCGCTGCATTCGCAACTGCAGTGAAGGGAAAGAAGAAATCTCCGTATTTCCCGATTGCTTCCACACTTTTCAATACTCGTTCGAGGTCATGACACTGAAATGCGACTGATCGGTTTGGGTAGATGGAATGTGATTCAAATCCGAGTGTGATCGAATTGCACGGAATTCAACAGTTTTGAGGTGAGCCGCGAAAGCCTTTTAGAATTACATTTCTTTGCGAGTAATTGTTAATGAAAATAAGCTATAAATTAGCAAGAAATGAGAAAAGGTTATTTGATGAAATATGACCCTAAAAAGTTAATATTCCATTGAAGTGAATATTCCAATAATTTACTTGGCATGAGACTGCAGTAAATGGATCTGTAAAGGAAAGGATCTCCCTCATTCAACCATCAACAAATCTTTCCAAAGTAAACATTGGACATTCTAGTATTAGCTAGAGATTTCCACGTCTTTGAAGAGAGGAAATTGTTCCCTGTAAAAGAGCGCACTTCGTATCTGTCGTTTCTAGATCTTCAGGTGTGCTTTGCATTATCCCTCAACTTCATCGTTCTCTCCTTGAGTTCATCAAAGTGAATTTTCTGCTTACAGTCCATGAGGAACAAAGGAACGATGAGGATAAGTCTGCAGCAGAAATTTTTCTCCTTGGTAGTATAGCTACTTATGCCAATTCCCAATTAAATAGAAAATCTTCAAAATTAAAATGACAGAAAGAGAAAAAACATGTCGACTCCTTCTTCACCTGAAAATGACGTCCATGAATTTCCGATCGAGCCGAACAATGTTTTCCTGCTTTTTGGAGCGTCACCCAACACGATTCTTACTTCATTGGGTAAGGAAAGATTTTGGACACCTAATTACGTTGATTCAGCTTCATTTAACCGGGAGTCTCTGCCGGCCACAGGAGGGATTTCACGTCACAGAAGTAAATAAATCATGAAAACAGTTCGCGAATATACACTATATTGCCAAAAGTATCAGGACAAGCCTCATTCCGCCGATAACAGATAGTCCCAGAGGTCATGTGGTAAAGGGAATTACTGTAGTCCAGAAGTATATAATGGTTGTCTGCAATCTGTTACAGTCGGTGTTTGCCAGTATGGCACGCGGATTGGAGCTGACGGATTTTGAGCATGGAATGATAGTTGCTCGTCATATCGTCCTTTGTCTCGATGCTTTTGGCTATGTAGTGTATGACAAATGCTCCTTTTGGATATTGAATCTCCAGAGTCTCCACTTTCCTCTTTTTTTCTCACAACGACAAACATTGAGGCATGTGAGTAACCGAACTCTAGGACGGGAGCGACAATGGCGTCAGTCCTGCAACAGCCCGAGTCCTGTTCTTAGGGCAAACCACCTTATGGTTCCACGCGGCGCATGCAGGTTGTAGGAGTGATTATGATTCATTAATACCTCGATTCTTCGATTTCGCATTGGACAGGAGCATAGGTGCCGTCAACGTCGCAGGAAGGAAAGTCCACAGCTTTTGCAATGGATCCATGTGCTGCATGCTCCTCATCTCGCTCTTGGAAAAGGTTGTAATGGTAACCGCAGGAGTAGAGAGGGTAGTACATTTCGTCTGGGAACTCCTCGGGATCATCTGCAAATTACGATGAAAATAACACGCTTCAGGTCATCATTGCAACGATTCGGCTCAATTGGTGCTCGAACGTGATGGCGTTGTAGAAATATTATGAAATTGTCGGATTTCGAGCTTTCGAGATTTTCAACACCTGAGTTGGTTTTAAGCATATAAACTCCATGGTCGGACGAAGCCGAATCTCCGTAATCTGGATATGTCCATCGACGCCGACTGCGTTAGGAGAATCACAGTAAAAGATTAGGAAATAGCTGACTTTCGAGGATGCTAGTTTTAGTAAACTACGTACCTTATCGGCATGTCTTAAAATGTTTACAGAAGTCTTTTGCTAGTGTGATACAACCGGGGAATGCAGAGAATATCTCGATCTTTGTCGCGGAAACTCCATTCTCACGTTGCATTGAAATTAAAGTGGACATCGAGGATTCCGTCCGGAAGGCCTGAGAATCATGAAAGCGGTATGGAATACCGACAGTCTAATAAGTAGGGAAAACTGTGAATTCCTCAAGGACCCCAACTATTTCTTCCTTTTTTTTTCCACTGGAGCTGACGGAGTCTGCAGGGCCATGTTGTACAGGGCGATCATAAAGTCCCATTCTATTTTATTTTTAAACTCAAAATTCTTACAAAAATGCAAAATATGCACTTCACATAGCCAATAATAAACTAGATAAAACTGGTAATAGTGACTTAAAAAACATGTGTTAACAATTATTTTTTACTAATGTTTCACATGACCACCTTCCAAATTCATACATTACTGGAATGGATCCGTTGTTTCCCTGAACATTCAGGATGTTCAGCATTTCTGGGGTTACAGAGTTAACAGCAGCATAGAGACGATCTCTTAAATCTTTAGCATTGAGAACCTGTGTGCTGTAAACCTTTGACTTAATGTACCCCATGCAAAAATACTAAGGGGATTATGTCAGGTTATCCTGAAGCCAACATCCTGTTCGGTCCTCGGCCAATTCAATGATTCGGGAACTTCTCATTAGATAATCTAGCACAATGTTCGGGAAATGAAATTTGGGCTTCAAGATCCCCTGAGCAAACCCCCTTTGTCTTTCCAAGTCCATTCAAGGTCCCACTGACGAAATTGACAACTTTGATGTCAAAAATATGTCTTTCTTAACTTTACTTAATTTGAATTTCCATCATTGGAAAAGTGAGTGTTGGAGAGCCGTAACTTAATCTTTCCTGGAATCGGCATTCCTGGAGAGTCATGTGGGCGTGACTGAAGGAGGGTGAGGGAGGGATAATTCCAAGCAAGGAAAAAGATCATATCATCTTCAGTCGCCATTTGCAGTTCTCTTTGACAACATGGCCAGTGGTAAGCGAAAGAGGCAAGCTTTCACGCTTAGAAGGAAAGTGTGCATGATTTGTTTAATAGAAAGTGGTCAAATTAAAGCTAACGTCGCTCGCGAACAAGGACATCTGTTCATTTTTGTTTCCACAATTTGGAAAAATCGTGACAGCTTCATCAGTGCTTACGCGGTACATGTCAGAAAACAAGAAACTTCGTAGATCTGTTGAGATAACGTCAACGAGGCCTTACGAAGGTATAAAGTAGTTCAAGGTCCAAAGAAGTGCGAGCATCACGATTAGTGGGTCAATCCTGAAACTGAAGCTAGTGCCGCATGACCGATGTACACTGGAGTTGTAACGTTATATGGCATCCATTTTGAAAACAGGAAAACAGAATGTCAATAAAGGCAACCTCGGTTATAACGATGATTTTTCACTGGTCCCTTCGATGATATTATAACAGAATTCGACTGTATTGCAAGAGATATTAGTATGAATCACCTCTTGCTCAGTCCTAAAACTCTCGGAGGACTGAATAGATAAGCAATCTACATTGTCATATGTCATAAAATATGTTATAGATAATGTTCAGCACATCCTACAATTGAACTCTCACTCTTTAGCACGGTATTCAACGAGGAGGAACGCCTTCTTCCCTTGCCCACCAATAATTATTTTCCCAGAAGAGATGAGGAGATGGTGATCGCATTCACGTCAGAGTACACATGGCACTTTCCATTAAACTAGACAGGGTACTGATCGCCGTTTTCACAGAGAAATAATACAGTGGGAAAGTGATATGTTACGGAATTACCCTCCAGTTTCACGAGTGCTGCGGAATTCCCAGATTTGCCCTACGTGCAAACCTACGGTTCATTCATCTTCGGCTGGATAAAAACGCGTCACAGCGAGAATATGCACTGATATCGGAATTCACCCCGAGATTATCCGTCTCTCTTATTTGATTATCCCCTCTTGGAATGAACTAAACGACGGAACCCGCCTGCCATGGGAGGAACCTCCCTCCGCTGCATCCCCTGAGAGCATGGGAAGATGGCAAGGAGAGAACTTCCACAAGCAAGATAGTTCCGTGAAACTCACAACACGGCAACAGGGTCATCAGCGACTTGGGTAGGAAGGGTCCGATGAATTCTATCGTCGTTCCGTTGACGCAGAAGCAGATGTCCTTTTCGCACTGAAGGGATTTGTAATTCCCGTTCAACTCGCAACGTAGCGTTGAGTACTCTTTTTTCTTCGCCAGTTCGTTCCTTTTTAAGGAGCAGGCTGAAAAGATCAAAAGAGCAATCGGAAAGTTTATGAAGCCGGCTCGAATTAGTTGTAAGAGACGACTGTTGGAAAATATGAGAGCAGATTGGAATTGTGAACTTGGCGTCACGGACGTTGATTTAAAATTATTTCTAAGTAGAATTTATAATTACAATGAAAATCATTTGAAATTAGAAATATTTCTGCTATATTCCTACATACATTCCTAAAACAAAAACTAGTGCAGGTTTATCTTGAGAGGGGCTCGTGTTTCAAGGTTGGATTTAGGGTGTTAGCTCCATAGAGATTCAGGATGTGAATGTGAGGAAAATGGCGTGCCTACCTTAAACCTAGAACCTATCGACGATCACACAAAGAGGCAAAGAGGCTATTAATTTTTAAAACATTTATTGCGAACAGCAAGAGACACGACATACTCCGCTCCGATGCCAATTCAAATGGCATCGCGCATGCCCAATCCCTTTAGCTTGCAGCAATGTTATTATCGTCATTGAAACTCGTCGGGGCGACAGGTGGCGCAAGGCTGTTTCAATCTGTGCAGAGAAGTGAATGTCGCAAACGGAATAGTGCATAAATTTGCAAGGATGTTCGTCTCCTTGCGCTCTGCGCGATTCAGTGCAAACGCTTTCAAATTCCATTGTATGCGAAGTAGTATACCATTACTTGTTAGCGTATAATTGCTACGACTCAAAAAGTTGCAATAAACTCGCTGCTTCATTCCTTCCCATATCTGGTTAATGTTGAACTATTGCTATTTTTGGGAGTGCTCTACACACCAAGTCTTATGCTTTTGAATGCGTCGGTATCCTGCTTCTTCGATCTGCTGCTTCATGACGAAAACTCTCCCCTTACGATAATGTCTTATAGGATTCCTATATATTCCTAAAGGAATATATAGGAATCCTATAAGATCCTATATGCCCCATAGAGTTAAGTTTGGGACCTATAGAGTTCCCTATAGAACATATAGAGTCCCCTATTGAACCTATAGGGTTCCCTATAGAACCAATAGGGCTCCCCATAAGGCCTATAGGTTCCCTATAGGACCCAAAGGGTTCAGTATAGGACCCGTAGGGTTCGCTATAGAACCTATAGGATTCTCTTTAGGACCTATAGGGTTCCTCATAGGGCCTATAGGGTTCGCTATAGAGCCTATAGGATTCTCTATAGGACCTATAGGGTTCCTTATAGGGCCTATAGGGTTCCCTATAGTGCCTATACGGAACCCTATAGGCTTATAGGGTTCCGTTTGAAGTTCTCCTCTAGGCCACTAGATGGAAGTATTGGGTTCTCACATTTTTCAAAGGGCACAAAAGTGCCCCCCCTTACCCAAGGAATCATCTCTCACAAGAGTTTTGTACGTCCCCAAATGTCTCGCCTTGCCTCATTGTAGCAATCAATAAACTTCGACAGTTCCTTATTTGTCATCCCCATCTTCCAGATATAATCATGGAGTCCCGTGAAGAAATATGCCCTTATTCCTTTTGAAAACCACGTACGAAACTGAGTAGACAGCTAACATGGCTGACACATAGAGCGCTACACACCACGCACAAAGGAATGCATTTCCTAGCCCTCTTTTTCGACGTCACCAAGGCGTTCGACAAGGTTTGGCATCAGGGCCTGCTCTACAAACTCCATCATCAACTCTTCCTCCCGGCTCCAGTCCTCAGGTGGATACGATCCTATCTTACAGGTCGCACATTCCAGGTTCGAGTCAACAACGAGCTGTCTAATCCTTACACCGTTACAGCTGGAGTACCACAAGGAACAGTCTTGGCACCGCTGGTTTTTCTTGCGTTTGTCAACGACTTACCTCGACACATACCATCATATGCACATGTCAGCCAATATGCAGATGATACAGCCATATGGCTCACGAGTAGAAATGAAGTCAAGCTAGAAAAGGACGCCCAACTTGTCCTCGACGCTCTTTCATCCTACTGTAAGGATTGGAGGATTTCCATGAATCCTTCCAAATCCTCATACCTT